AGTATATTGCAAAATGTTTTTTGTTCGACTCATTAATGGAAGAATTACCGTCTATTCATTAGCTTTCATTTAAACGAAGAAGACTTTCGTTTGGCTATATTTGAGCAGTTAAATGGACCTATACGTTACGATCCCGATAGGTTAGCTAGTCTCAGGTTTAATCCTTTATTATCTGAAACATATAAAAAATTTAGCCTTTCTAGCCATGATGATCCTGATGCTAATTTCTTCACGGAGTTAGTTGACTGCGAATATTATACCGAAGAAAACTTCAATGAAATGTTGCATCAGAAAAATATATTAGAAGTCAATAATTGTTTATCGCTTCTGCATCTTAATATTCGTAGCCTTCATCGTAATTTGGATAGCTTAACCACTTTGCTAAAGAATTTAGAGTTGAGGTTCTCTTTTATTGGTGTAACTGAGACCTGGCTTCGAGACTCATCGCATCATACCGATATCTCAGGTTATAATTTTGTCCACAATCCACGTAAAGATAGGACAGGTGGAGGTGTAGGTCTATATTTAGCGGACAATTTTGATTTTAAATGTCGACCTGACTTAGTTTTTTCTTGCACTGAATGTGCTGAGTCTTTGTTTGTGGAAATCAATAGGCCGAAAGAGAAAAATATAATTGTAGGTATGGTTTACAGGCCACCAAATTCAAATTTACGAGATTTTATGAATCGCCTGGATTCGTTGCTTGCAAGTATCTCTAAGGAAAACAAGATTTGCTATGTTTTAGCTGACTGGAATCTAGACTTAATCAACCACCATTGTCACGACACAACTGGAGAATTGTTAGAAACTATGTATTCAAGAATGTTTTTTCCATTGATCACACGTCCGACAAGAATAACTTCTAACACGGCTACGCTAATTGATAATATTTTCACGAATAATTTAAACAACTTATCTGTTAGCGGGCTGATGTTTTGTGATATATCTGATCATCTTCCGATTTTTACACTGCTTCTTGATCAAAACAAGAACTTAAGTAAAGCTTCTTGGCTTTCTTTTCGAGATAAAAGTGGAAATAATGTCGCGAAGTTTAAAGATATGCTTGCAAACGTTCATTGGGATGAATTATCTGAATGTAAAGATACTGATTGCGCTTATCGGTGTTTTCTTGATAAATACACTACCATTTACAATGACTGCTTTCCTCTCAAAAGTGAAAGTAAAGAATGTTCTTTGAGCAAACCATGGATAACTAAAGGTCTTCTTAAATCGGTAAGAAAAAAGAATTTATTATACAAGCGTTTCCTTGCTAACCCAACTCCATATCGTGAGAAACTTTACAAGAGTTATAAAAACAAATTGACACATTCCCTTCGCGTTGCTAAACGTCTCTACTACAATAAAAAGTTAGATGAATATAAATTAAATGCAAAATCAACTTGGAAATTACTTAACGATCTTATTAACAAGAGGAAAATTAAGTGTAAGTTGCCTTCCACCTTCAAATCTAATGAAGAAGAAATATGTAATCCTACTCATATAGCAAACCGTTTTTGCGAGTATTTTACGAATATTGGACCTAACTTAGCTAAATCGATTCCGGCGTCTGACAAGTCTCATCGTTCTTTTCTGAATGGAGGCTTTATTAATTCATTTTTTCTTCAATCGGCATCAGAACAAGAAGTCACTGAGATTTGTAGCAGCTTTCGATCCGGTACTGCTCCAGGATATGATAGTATTTCAATGAATGTTGTTAAAGAGTCTTTTAACTTAATCTGCGCACCATTGACGTATATAATTAACTTGTCTCTTAATTCTGGAGTTGTGCCCCAAGAGATGAAAATTGCACGAGTTATTCCATTGTTTAAATCTGGTGATAAATCTTTGTTCACAAATTACAGACCCGTATCAGTGTTACCAGTTTTCTCTAAATTCCTAGAGAGAATCGTCTACAATCGCCTCATTAATTTTTTAAATAAATATGATATTCTTTCCCGGAATCAGTATGGATTCAGAAAAAATTATTCTACTGCACATGCTTTAATCCAATTGTATGACAAGATCTCAAATGCACTTGATAATAAAAGGGTAACTTTAGGCCTATTCATTGACTTATCTAAGGCCTTTGATACAGTAAATCATGAAATTTTGCTCGACAAATTAGAACATTATGGAGTACGTGGTATTGCTTTACAATGGTTTAAAAGTTATCTATCTTGTCGAAAACAATTTATGCAATATAATGGTTACAACTCTTCATCATTAGATATCACTTGCGAAGTCCCTCAGGGATCTATCTTAGGTCCCCTGTTATTCTTAGTATATATAAATGATCTATGTAATGTGTCAAAGGTCTTGGAGCTGATACTATTTGCTGATAACACTAATATCTTCTATTCGCATACTGATACTTCCTATCTTATGGAAGTTGTAAATTTAGAATTGAAAAAGATAACGTGTTGGTTTTATACAAATACTGGGCTATCTATTAATGTTAAGAAATCTAATTTTATCATATTCAGACCGAGACAAAACAGGCAAACGCTTGATTTAGCTTTTAATATTAGTAATTATTCGATTGACTGTGTTAAGGAAGCTACTTTTCTTGGTGTAATTTTGGATGAACATTTAACATGAAACTCACATATACATAATGTTGCTAGGAAAGTGTCTAAAGCCATGGGTATAATTTATAAATCAAGTTTTTGCCTTAATAATTCCTCCTTACGGATGCTTTATTTTAGCCTTATCTACCCGTACGTATTCTACTGCGTGAGCGTCTGGGCATCGACCTACCCATCAAACCTCAGAAGATTAATCACACTTCAAAAACGGGTCGTAAGAATAATGTCGAGGAGTGCTTTCGATGCTCACACTGACCCCTTATTTAAAAATTTAAAAATTCTGAATCTTGAGAGTATCTACAAACTTCAAATAGGAAAATTTATGTATCAATACAGATCTGGCTTACTTCCTTATAGCTTCAATAACATGTTTCTGGTGACACGCCAGGTGCATTCTTATGGCACTAGAAGCTCGGAGCATTTTTATTTACCACAATGCAGGACTAATATAAGAAAGTTCTCCATCAGTTTCCAAGGTCCTAAATTTTTTAACTCTCTTAGTTTTGAAATTCGAAATGCAACAAGTACCGCTTCCTTTTGCTGTAAGCTGAAAGCATTCCTCTTATCATAAATAGTAATTTATAGTATATATATATGTATTTTTTTTCTTCCTTTGCTCTTTTATTTTCTTTTGTTTTGTTTTGTTTTTTCTTTTTGTCATTTCGCTTTTTTTAGCCTAGAACTATGATTAGTACGACTATCTAATATACTTATTTTAAGATTTACTGTAGCTCTGCCATTGATTTTCCCGTGTGTAATTATGATAATATTTTGTTCTAATTATCTAACTGAGGGAGCCCATTCCTTATAAGCCCGGTGGCTTCTCTTGGGCTTCCTCGCCATGAGAGTTAAGGTAATTAGATTTTATTTGATTTGTTTAATTTTTGGCAAATAACACAATAAACAATGAACAATTATCTTCGTTGTTGTCTTTGTAGTGGAGGCTGCATTGATCATCCTTGGAAATGCCTTCACCATCTTTGTTTTCTCAGCTCCAACTCGGACATCGCATATAAGAATAACTTGCTATCTCTTGATAAATCTGGCCTTTGCTGACCTATTTCTGGGTATTACAGAGCCCATAATTCTAGGGACGAAAAAGTTCCATGATATGAGGGCGACAACGACAAAACCGAGAGGAATGAACAAGACAAACATACTGAGGGGAAAAAGAGAAAATGCTCTACCAGGAGTATGGATACCAGGAGCAATGCAACTTTTTTCATCAAGTGCATCGATGTTTTTTCTCGCCCTGATTTCCCTCGAGCGCGCTTTTGCTGTGTTAAAACCGTTGCGTCATCGTGTTGTTAGCACTCGCGTTTACATCTACAGTATTGTCGTCGTATGGACTGTAGGAATTTTCATATTAGGTCTGATGGCTCTTTCCTTTTATTACCCAAAGCTGGAGCGGGAGACGGTTGATATTGTTGCACATTTTTGCCTTTTCATCTCTCTTCTGGTGATTTGTGCGAGCTACCTCAAAATACGAACACGATTGAGCAGCACTGCACCCGAAGTAGCCGCTGTTAAGAGCCGTCAAACTACTGAGCATAACGCACGACTTTCAAGGACTCTCTTCGCGGTGATCGCTTTGTCGCTTCTGTTTTGGCTGCCAGCGTTTGCTGTTTACATAGGTAGGGACTTCTGCCAGACGTGTTTTTACCCATACGTGATGTGGACGGTCAATGTTTTCCATCTTGCCAATTCTTTGGTTAATCCATTTGTGCATAGCTTCAGGATGCCGGTATTCAAAGAAGCGTTGGAGAAATTGTCGAGAAGACGAAGGCACGTTATTGGAACAAGAAATATCGAGGCTACAAGTCTGGCTTTGAGTCCATCTTCTACTTCGAGGATGAATCACACCGGTTTCTCGGCTGCCGCAACATATGGGGGTTCTCAGTTAAATCTCTTTACGGAAAGTGGAGATCAGCTTTTTACAGCGAGTTCACCGAAGCTTTCACCTGCAGTCAGCACTGCTTGCATTGGTGCAAAACAAGCAAGTACTCCTTCGACATACATAGTGACCCGATTATAGGCAAAACTCCGATGACGTCATTTTTGACAGTGTTGCTCATTAGAATACGAGTACAAGGCGTCGCGCAAATGTACAAATCAAGTGCAAAAGATGATAGAGGTGATTCATTTGGACAACTTGTGAAAAGGTTTAACTCTTTGCAAGGAATAGTAGGACATCATCATATGCCAAAAGCGTCAAAGATATCTATACGTGTGGCCTTTATATACCTCCATTTAATTCACCATATTTCAGTTTAGAATTATTTGAAGAACTTGAAAATAACATCGAAATATTTTCCTCCAGAGGCTCAATTCTCCTTATGGGTGACTTGAACTCTAGATGAAGAAAGTATTCCGACAGTGTTTGTAAAGAGGGAAAAAACCTCATTACAAACGACCAATCAGAATTCTCTCTCTGCCCAACGCAGAGAAATAGTTTTGCTAACGAATTTAACAGTCACGGTAAAAGGTTCTTTAAAATTTGTAAAAGTGCAGACCTTGGGATTCTAAACGGAAGAGTCAGTGGTGATTCCCTAGGAAGAGTAACGTTTCATGGCAAAAACGGAGTGAGTGTAGTTGACTATGCAGTATGTGACCAGGATCGTTTATCACACGTTGCAAATTTTGTAGTCAAAGATCCACTGCGTTTGTCAGACCATAGCCCTATTACTACTTGGCTGAATATTAACCAAAAGATGAGTTACAATCGCACCATACTTGAAGGAGATACTTGAACCCGTTTACCGAAACAATTTCTGCTGGATGCTTTGAGGTCTCCCCGTATACAAACACTAATAGGCGATTATATTGCTGGCGACACATTCAATGAAAATACTGAGCTATCCCTCGAAAAGGTGGAAAACATTTTAATCACAACGGCTAAGTGTTGTTTAAAGATAAGAGAAGGTAAAACGCGTATGCAATGCCCGAAATCGATGGACGACACTAGAAAAGGAGAGGATGTTCCATCAATCTCGAATTAAAATGGGCTACAATATTTCCACAATCTTCATTCGAAGGAACCTCTTAACCCAGGGCAGCAAAACATTTGCAATGAGCTACGACAAAATGAATGCCATGTCAACACGTCCTTTAGATTTCATGATAACTGAAAGAGAAATACGTAAAGCAGCGGAAAGTTAAAGAATAATAAATCACCATTTTCGGATAAAACAAGACGCTGTGGGAGCGTATATTTGGGCGTGGTCGTACTACGCGTATGATACTTTGAACATGCCTTATTGCAGCTAAACAACTGTCATCATATCTTACCATAGAAGATAAATCCTTTACTCTACTTGTTTGCTGAACCCCACAGCTTATACAGTATGTCCCAACCCACAACAATAATCCTGTCATTTCATGACAATGTTTGAAAATATGCAACATAGGACATAAGTGGTTACAGCCCGGAGAGTAAGGTTTATCTCAGCTCCACTGATACTGACACTTTGAGGAAGATTGACTGACAGATTTACCGAATAACCGCACAGCAGACCACGTCTTCACTCTCCGAACCTTTATAGACAAGTATGTTCATTATCACAACGAAAAGATCTATGGTTGTTTTGTAGATTTCAAAAAAGCTTTTGACTCGGTCTTGCATGACGGGCTCTTGAATAAGCAGCTTAATTAAAAGCTTATACAACAACTCTTCCTGCTAAATTAAAATTGCCCAAAAACAAACGCGATCATTCTGTTATGGGAGAGGTGTGCGGCAAGGCTGTATCTTAAGTCCACTGCTTTTTAATCTTTATATTAAAGACCTACCTTTCGCATTTGAGAATATGATTATCTGATCCTTTTGTTTTCCCAAACGGTGCAAAACTCAATTCTCTATTATATGCAGACTATTTAATCATTTTATCACGATCCAAAACAGGACTGCAAAATTGCCTCGATAATCATTTCCTTCATTCTGTTCTTCATGGATGATGAAAATCAATCCCAAGAAAACAAATATTATGGTTTTTCAGAAACGTGCGAGAAAAAATGCTGATTTTCACTTTCTCATAGATAGTCAAATAATTGATGTTGTACATAAGTACACTTACTTTGCAACTCGAATGTCCTAATCGGGAAATTTTTCAGTGTCACGTAAACATCTCAAGGAGAAAGCTCTTCATGCCCTTTTCAGCTTGAGACGACACACGAATCTTAGCAAACTAAAAGCAGCTCTCGCCTGTAAAATATTTGATACTATGATCTCCCCTATTCTAACACATAACAGTGAAATTTGAAGTGTGTATGCCAAACCAGATTTTAAGATCTAGACATGGGACGGCTCACAAATCGAGAAGGCACACCTTCAATGTTGTAAACGATACTTGGAAGTAAACAACAAAACTTCTAATATAGCTTGTAGAGCAGGGCTTGGTCGTTTTCCTTTAAATATCACTGTCAATCAAAAAATTCTCAAATACATTTTGTATATACAGTCTAAAGATGAGGAATCTCTCGTCAAAGACGCTTTTTTAATGTCATTCGACTTACACTGTAATGGCAAAAATAGCTTCCACTCTCATTTAATGAATATGTCAGAATACTTTAAGCTTCCTGACTTTAACCCTGATTTATTAGATATAGCTATGGTAAAAAGCTATTTAAGTTCAGTGAAACAGGGATATATCTCATATTGGCAAAACACCCTTCAACATTCTCAAAAACGTGAAATTTATAGATCTTTTAAAACCGATCATACCTCCTCTAGTTACTTAGACTTAACAAGAGGAACAGCTGGGAGAACTACGAATAAGCAATCACAAACTAGTGTTAGAAATAGGGAGATACAATCAAACTAAGGCGGATAATAGGCATTGCCCTTTTTGTGGATGCAATGTAATAGAAAACGAATTTCACTTTCTTTTTCAGTGTCCTACATACTCGATAATTAGGAATAAATTTTACTATAAAGTCAAGACTCTGATTCAAATATTACCCAGTTACCTATATACGGTTTGACCAATGAACTGATGAACTCTTCTAATTACTTTATCAATATACAATTCATAAAATATATTTCAGCTTGTTTTGATGTTCGTGACAAATTATTATCAAAGTAACGTAATTGCCCTGTGTTGTAATTTTGATTCCTAAACATAGCTTTTACAATAGACCTATTCGGCTAACTCAATGTTGTACCCAATTCAAATCTCCCGGGGTTAAGATTCTTTGTGTATTGTATTTGCATCATAATGTGGCATTTACATTTAAATGATATGGAAATTCCTGAAACAAAACGTTTTATTCCCAAAAGGTTTGAATTGGGTACAACATTGAGTTAGCCGAATAGGTCTATACTGTATGTGTTTGTATCGTCATGCAAAGAAAGCTCGTTGTTGTTGTAAGGTTGGTTAGGCGGTCACAGAAAAAGTTATAACTTTTACAGCTACTGGTTTGGAATTAATTGTAATTTCTATTGTAATTGGGTTTGGGACTATTGTAATTGCCAAAATTAAGCACGCAAATTTCGTAACGAAATTATCAGAAGACGAAGTTTTTAAAATGCTAGTTGTTTTGAAATTATGCAAATTTGTGACACTTTAATTGAATGTTTTTTGTTTGAATGTTTAATTTATAGTAAATTTGACAGTTGCGTGTTTGCATTTTTCCACATTGTGATTTTCAATGCTTAATTCTTTCAACGATTAAAAACTATTCATTACTAGTAAAACTCAATCAACACATAAAGCAGTTACAAATGGATAGATTTGGCGAAAGCAATGATCAGCATCGTCATGAATAAGTAAGTTACAGCTGAAGTTATCAACTCTGCTGTTTTGTTCGCAAGTGCGGCAAAGTTACTGCATGTTAAACCAAACGGAAATTGAGTTTTTCTTCCTCAACAATATAATAAAGAAATTATTTAATAAAAAAGTCAATAAGGCGCGGTTGTTTGAACGAATTTAAGGTTCTAAGGTTTTCTCGATCATTTCATGCCCGATTGGCTTATCAGAACAGGACCTTCAATGGTTTATGGAAGGAAGGTGAGTACCCTAATACAGACAAGAAACCTTCTGGATATACCTGTAAGAAAAGAGTTCAAACCCGCCATCAGAGTGGTTTAGATGTCCTTAAAGTCTCTTGCCCTAGCATATCACTGAGTTATTCAAAAAGCGTTGTTTCGATCGTTCTAATCATTGCCTTGATTCGCCTGTCATCCAAAATTATGATACTCAAAATTGAAGGCAAGGCTAATAGGACAGCTACTTTGGATGGGTAATTAATTTTCCCAATATTAGTTTTGCCTAACCGAAATATTGGGAAATTAAATTACCTATCAACTAAAAATTGTTTGGATGTTATTCTATTGCTGATCCGCCTGATCTACTTCAAGATCCGGCTTTCCCTCACGATACAGTTTGTCCAAGTGGTCCTTGCTGGAATTGTTCGCTAAAAATTACTTGGAAGTCAAAAGCACACTTTTAAGAAAATGTTGTAAGATGTTTTGAATGTCAATGTTATTACCGATTTTGTTTACACGGATATGAAAAATATCATCTCGGTGAAGGCAATTTTTTAAATATAGATTAAATCCTTTATTTTCATTGGGGGAGAAAAGGAACAACTGAGTAAACTCAAATGTAATCTATATGACATGATATCAATATAGGAGGCACCTATCATTCTCTCTTTAACTTCTTTCTGCTCTGTTGACAGTTGAACTTAAAACTGTTTCTTTGTACCCATAAGATTGAAGGGATATCACACTAGATAAAGTGCTACTGGTGCTACAGCGAGCATTAAGAAGGCTGTTGGTGACTGAGCAAGATATTATTCATTAGGTCAAACAACCCTTGAAGGCAATTTTAATATACAGTACACGTATACAACACCGGCAAGTTGCACAGTATCAATATCACCAGCATCATCGTTGAAAGGAGACCTCCCCAAAAAGAAAAAAAAACGCGGTTGGGTGTTACAAGCTGGGAGTTATAAATACTTTAATTGACTTGAACTATAACGTTGCCGAGGTGTAATATTCCAATTAGTCGCAGATACTTATGTGATAGAGTAGGGAAAATGTTGACAAAAGATGTGGCGATCATCTTTGTTGTTGTCTTTGTAGTGGAGGCTGCATTGATCATCCTTGGAAACGCCTTCACCATCTTTGTTTTCTTAACTCCGACTCGGACATCGCATATAAGAAGAACTTGTTATCTCTTGATAAATCTCGCCGTTGCTGACTTACTTGTGGGTATTACAGAGCCCATAATTCTGGGGATGGAAAAGTACCATCAGATGACGGCGACAACGTCAAATCCGAGGGGAATTAACGAAACAAACCCACTGAGGGGAAAAAGAGAAAATGGTCTACCAGGAGCAATGCAACTTTTTGCATCAAGTGCATCGGTGTTTTTTCTCGCCCTGATTTCTCTCGAGCGCGCTTTTGCCGTGTTAAAGCCGTTGCGTCATCGTGTTGTTAGCACTTGCGTTTACATCTACAGCATTGTCGTCGTATGGGCTGTAGGAATTCTCATATTAGGTCTGATGGCTCTTTCCTTTTATTACCCAAAGCTGGCGAGGGAGACTGTTCATGTTGTTGTACATTTTTGCCTTTTCATATCTTTTGTGATGATTTGTGCGAGCTACCTCAAAATACGAACACGATTGAGCAGCACTGCACCCGAAGTAGCCGTTGTCAACGGGCGTCAAACTACTGAATATAACGTACGACTTTCAAGGACTCTTTTCGTGGTGATCGCGTTGTCGCTTCTGTTTTGGCTGCCAGCGTTTGCTGTTTACATAGGTAGGGACATCTGCAAGAGGTGTTTTCACCCATACGTGGTATGGACGGTCAATGTTTTCCATCTTGCCAATTCTTTAGTTAATCCATTCGTGTATAGCTTTAGGATGCCGGCATTCAAAGAAGCGTTGGAGAAATTGTCGAGAAGACGAAGGCACGTTATTGGAACAAGAAATATCGAGGCTACAAGTTTGGCTTTGAGTCCATCTTCTACTTCGAGGATGAATCACACCGGTTTCTCGGCTGCCGCAACATATGGGGGTTCTCAGTTAAATCTCTTTACGGAAAGTGGAGATCAGCTTTTTACAGCGACTTCACCGAAGCTTTCACCTGCAGTCAGCAGTGCTTGCATTGGTGCAAAACAAACAAGTACTCCTTCGACATCCATAGTGACCCGATTATAGGCAAAACTCATGACGTCATTTTTTACAATTTTGCTCATTAGAATACGAGTACAAGGCGTCGCTCGTATGTACAAATCAAGTGCAGAAGCTGATAGAGCTGATTCACTTGGACAACTTGAGAAAAGGTTTAACTCTTTGCAAGGAATAGTAGGACATCATCATATGCCAAAACCGTCAAAGATATCTATATGTGTGGCCTTTATATACCTCCGTGTAATTCACCATATTTCAATGTAGAATTATTTGAAGAACTTGATATTTTCCTCCCAAGGCTCAATTCTCCTTATGGGTGACTTGAACGATAGAACAAGAAAGTATTCTGACAGTATCTGTAAATAGGGAAATAACCTCATTAAAAACGACCAATCAGAATTCTCTCTCTGCCCAACGCAGAGAAATAGTTTTGCTAACGACTTAAACAGTCACGGTAAAAGGCTCCTTGAAATTTGTATAAGTGCAGACTTTAGGATTCTAAACGGAAGAGTCAGTGGTGATTCCCTAGGAAGAGTAACGTTTCATGGCAAAAACGGAGTGAGTGTAGTTGACTACGCAGTACGTGACCAGGATCTTTTATCACACGTTGCAAATTTTGTAGTCAAAGATCCACTGCGTTTGTCAGACTATAGCCCTATTACTACTTGGCTGAATATTAACCAAAAGATGAGTTACAATCACACCATACTTGAAGGAGATACTTGAACCCGTTTACCGAAACAATTTCTGGTGGATGCTTTGAGGTCTCCCCGTATACAAACACTAATAGGCGATTATATTGCTGGCGACACATTCAATGAAAATACTGAGCTATCCCTCGAAAAGGTGGAAAACATTTTAATCACAACGGCTAAGTGTTGTTTAAAGATAAGAGAAGGTAAAACGCGTAAGCGTATCAAATCATTATCAAACAAAAAACGGTTCGATAAAGAATGTCGTTTGAAAAGGCATGAATTACGAAAGCTAGCAAACAATGAACATCAAGACCCTTTGAATACTACCATACGTGAGCAACACCATGATACTCTGGTCCAATACAAGAAGTTACTTAATTCTAAAAAGAATTATTATTACAATGCCAAGATTTCTGAGGTAGAAAAAACTGCAGACAATTCAGACGCGAAAACTTTCTAGCAATGCCCGAAATCGATGGACGACACTAGAAAAGGAGAGGATGTTCCATCAATCTCGGATTAAAATGGGCTACAATATTTCCACAATCTTCATTCAAAGGAACCTCTTAACCCAGGGCGGCAAAACATTTGCAATGAGCTACGACAAAATGAATGCCATGTCAACACGTCCTTTAGATTTCATGATAACTGAAAAAGAAATACGTAAAGCTGCAGAAAAGTTAAAGAATAATAAATCACCATTTTCGGATAAAACAAGACGCCATGGGAGCGTATATTTGGGCGTAGTCGTATTACGCGAATTATACTTGGAACATGCCTTATTGCAGCTAAACAACTGTCATCATATCTTACCAGAGAAGATAAATCCTTTAATATACTTGTTTGCTGAACCACACAGCTTATACAATATGTCCCAATCCAGAACAATAATCCTGTCATTTCATGACAATGCTTGGAGACATGCTTGGCCGATATGCTTGGAGCCAAATTGCAACATAGGACATAAGTGGTTACAGCCCGGAGAGTAAGGTTTATCTTAGCTCCACTGATACTGACACTTTGAGGAAGATTGACTGACAGATTTACCGAATAACCGCACAGTAGACCACGTCTTCACCCTCCGAACTTTTATAGATAAGTATGTTCATTATCACAATGAAAAGATCTATGCTTGTTTTGTAGATTTCAAACACGCTTTTGACTCGGTCTTGCATGACGGGCTCTTGAATAAGCAACTTAATTAAAAGGTTATACCACAACTCTTCCTTCTCAATTAAAATTGCCCAAAAACAAACGCGATCATTCCGTTATGCGAGAGGTGTGCGGCAAGGCTGTATCTTAAGTCCACTGCTTTTTAATCTTTATATTAACGACCTACCTTTCGCATTTGAGAATATGATTATCTGATCCTTTTGTTTTCCCAAACGGTGCAAAACTCAATTCTCTATTATATGCAGACTATTTAATCATTTTATCACGATCCAAAACAGGACTACAAAATTGCCTCGATAATCATTTCCTTCATTCTGTACTTCATGGATGATGAAAACCAATCCCAAGAAAACAAATATTATGGTTTTTCAGAAACGTGCGGGAAAAAAATGCTGATTTTCACTTTCTCATAGTCAAATAATTGATGTTGTACAAGAGTACACACTTCCTTAGGAACTCGAATGTCCTAATTGGGAAATTTTTCAGTGTCACGTGAACATCTCAAGGAGAAAGCTCTTCATACCCTCTTCAGCTTGAGACGACACACGAATCTTAGTAAACTAAAAGCAGCTCTCGCCTGTAAAATATTTGATACTATGATCTCCCCTATTCTAACATATAACAGTGAAATTTGGGGTGTGTATAGTCCGGCAGCAAATGTCATGAAATAAAGTCCCGTGGGAATTTTCTGAAGAAAGCAGGCCACTAGTCTAGAAGTGTTAAGGGGACCCTAAATAACATGAAAAGTTTTGGTGGCAACTTTGTAACTTGCTCAGACAGGATTTATATGGGGTCACAAATGTGATGTGTATATCCCAGCATGGAAACGAGGCTCAAATATAAAATTGTCCACAGCTTTCCATTATTTCCGCAAAACTTTATCAAAATCACCACATTTGAGCAAATCAATGTTTCCAATATGAACATGCGATTTTAAGAGGTTATTTAGCACGAAAACGAGGCTCACTCAAAAGCTGCACTGGTAGCCCTTATACTTCTCCTGATGAAGGTAGGGTTGACAAACGAAATGCAGGTGAATATCATCTGTGCAATCAAATGCAATTATTTGGTAAGGGTTATCACGTGACCACGCTGACATGAAAACGAGGCTGATACAAAAGCTGTAGTGAGGGTCATAAAACATTACAAAAGAATGAGGTATAAAGTATGTTAATAGATAACACCTGGCATTCAAACATGTTTATAAGGTAAGAGTTTTTAGAATGGTGCACTTAATAACATTCTACAACCACAACTTAGCTGTGACTTTATTTTCAACAAAAAATAAACCAGAGCATTGGATTTCCTGTGGTGCACACGTGGGAGAGGGCCTGGACCGTGTTCCCATTACTTCTAGTGAGCAGTAGTTATAATTATTAGAATAGAGGTCCACCATCTTTACTCACAGAGAATGTAGCGAGAATGGCTATGGAGTTTCCTCGCAATACAGGCATTACTTTTAAATTGTGCATTATCTGCCAGACACAAACAGACGAGGAACTTGTAGAAAAACCCGTTTCACACAAAAAACTTTTCGATGCAATTCAGGAACAATCTCATTATGGAGATGTGAAGTTCGCCGAGGTGCGGTCCTTTCTGAAAGGCTTTCCATTTGAAGAACTAGTATCATGGCATAGAACTTGTTATCAAGAAACAACACATTCAGGCATGATAAAAAGAGCTAAACTGTGTGGTCCGAATGAGGCAAGGTGAAAATCATGTGATTTGTCACTGGAACTGAGCTAAGCAGCCACTAACACGTTCGAAGACATCGCCATACCACCGAGATGTGTGTTTTTTCTGTGACGGTGAGGGAGGATATCGCCAGCCACTACACACTGTCAGCACATTAGGGCCATTTATACGAGGAAAAATAAGACGCGTCTTAAATAACACGCGAACTGTACCATTTATACGAGCATGTCGTATCTAAGACGACAACAGCTCGTATAAATGGTTCCCGTGTTATTTGTGTTCTTGAGTCGTTTTCATGTGAATGTTGCCCTTAGCAACGGCAATCCAACGTGGTGCGCCAAAAATTAACGAATGCGTACTATGCGTTCGTGTCTTATTTAAGACGTGAAGGTCATTTATACGAAGTTTTTCTCGTCTTAGCTAAGACGCGTCTTATCTAAGAACAGGTGTTAGGGGCTGTTCTAAAATAAAACTCGTCTTAGCTAAGCCGCGTCTTATTTTAGACAAAATGTGCCGTTTATACGGAAAGTTCGCGTCTTATTTAAGACGCTTCCTATGTAAGACGCGTCTTATTTTACCTCGTATAAATGGCCCTAATGTCTGCAGGTAGTTATCTGGATGCTGCCGTGAAGAAAGAAGGAGATGAGAAGTTACATGTCAAACTCTCCACTGCAGTTGACCGTAGAGATGCTCATGCAATTGACATAAAATAT